GCTATGACATTGGTTGCTTCTGGGATATGACAAGTTTTTATCTTCAGATTGAGCCGGTCTGTTAGGTGGAATAGACGGAAGGTCAGATTCAATAGTGGTGCCGATTTCCTTGTCCTTGTGACTGCCACGTTGTACGTGTGTATCATTAGGATTTGATTCCTGAAGAGATGCCACCAGTGCATGATGGCATTGATAACTGCCTTAAATTCCAACTGATTTATGTGTTGCGACCTTTCCTCTATGGACCATGTTCCTGCCCGGGGTTCTGACAAAACAGGTAGAAGGTAGATGCCTGTGCAGAAACGTTCAAGAACGGAGGAGCCTGTAAAGACGTATACATCCCATTTAGACAATTGATGTCACAGTCATAGCTGGCTGCATGGATAGTTCTTGTATTGGCACAACAGTTCAGAATTCTAACTTCTTCTGAAGAACACAAGAATGTTGTTATTGATCGAAGCCCACTCACTGTAGAGTGACAGCATGCTAAGACGGGGTCATTGTGTAGCTGTCTCATTATAACGTTGACTGGCTTAGGCTTCACAGCACTTCTTCATAATATGTTTAAGATCGGAGAGTCAGCAATGAAAACAACTTTGCATAGGATGTCAATATGAAGTGATGATGCACCATTCTTCTCCTTATGTTCGCAAACAATCTGGGTTCGATCCAAGAAGGTAATCGATGTGCACGTTGATTGTAGCGAAACTAACTTCCGTGTAGCGTTGACATGGACAGTAATACAGGCTGTCGTTTATATCAGGAAAAATTCCTAGTTAAACATTGTTCATCCCGCTGTCAAAGCTGGACAGCTACTGAGATTCCCATGATGATAATGGAACAAAGTTGTATGCTGTTTTCAGGCTGTAGTTGAAGTGATTCCACGTAGAACGGGTTTGCTAACAACCCAGTGAGCTTGCTGACACGTGATATGCAAATCAGGCACAGGGCATTGTCTTCTGTCCTGGACCAATCAGCTCCCAAGCATGTGACATCAGCAGTGTTGTAACAGGTTGGCCCCCATGAAATATAGTGCAATAGCTGGTTGAGTAAAAAATGTGTGTAAAAATTCCATAATTCCTTGCTTCCATAATCCTCCATAACCTCTTGAATAAGGGTTGCTTCAGGTGTAAAATGCTTGATGGATTGTTTATCCATAGAGTTCATAGTCTGTGCCAACTTACTGGTCCTTAAAATCCTGTGAGACCTCCTTGATGCATGATATGAAGAGCAATCAAATATGGTTGGAGCAGCCCATGGTTGCGTAAAAGTAGCTTAATGTAGAGGTCGGTCACAGGCATGAGGATAGTAGATCTTGTTGACGCCTGATGATGAATTCTTGATCACTTTCCTGTGCCACCATAGTTGATAAGAACACACGTTCTCTGTCCGTTGTGGGTTCTAGCGTGCGTTAAGCATAGTTTCATTAATATCCATAGACAATAGACGATTTTGGTATTTTCGAAAAAGGTTTAATATCGTCGGCAAACTTCGGAAATCATCAGGATGGTGTACGAAGTCAGCTGAAAACGCGAGTTTAAACCAAGACTGGATCACACACCAAACCGTTGATATTCCAATTCTGCTATTTTCAAAACAAGTTTAGAGATAAACCTGGTTCAGATGAGATGGTTTAACGTCCAATTTGCAGACCTGGTAGGGGGGTAGTTTACACCTTGTTTATCTGTAGAAATATAACTCAAAATTCAGATGCATGGAACACTATGGTGATTTATTGTGAAAGTAAAAGCGAACCTTACTCTTTCAGTGACTAGCAGGAACCTGGTAACACAGATACACATTTATTTCCACTACCTGTGTGTGGAACAAATTAATGTACAACAAAACACCTTGGCGTACTGACAATCCAATGACACAAATCATTTGGTTTCAGCTCTCAACATGAGCTAAACATCTCAACAGTCTAACCACATCGAACATATTACTTAATCAACATTAAAGTTGATATTATGAGAAAAACTAGAGTATGGGCATGTATATGTCCATTTACTGTATGATGAAACAAATTGTGAAAAAATGCACCAAAAATAAGAACACTTCGGCGTACTTACTTCGTACATTGATTTAAAGATTATCAAATTACACAATCTTCCGTTAAAAAACAGCAATTAGCGCTTTGCAGTCTCACACCACAGAATCTGAACAAAGAGGATAAATGTTGAAAGCATGTTAAACGGATCAATTATATTTTGAATCAGTGACTGAAATTGTGAAGAATGACTTGTTGACGTTGTCGGGTTCCCTGCTGTTCTTCAAGTTGCCAATGCCTGTCAGTTTCACCCAATGCCTCTTGCTTTAACTTAACAGAGCTGGCATCAAACCATTTCCCATCAATAACACGGATATTTTTCTCTTTACAGTCAAAGAGGAAGACCTTTTGCTCACTTGTCCAGTTATTCGCTGTTTTGATTGCCCATTTCACCTTTACATGCTATCTCACCTGCTGACTAAAACGTAAACACAAATATGATGTTAACCGGAACACGTGTGCAACTAAAGTGAGCATGTGTGGGTTGAAGTTTCGAAATTATTTTTACAACGAAATGAACAAGGTAATATCTTCAAATTCTAGATGGTGAGACCTGGTCTAAACTTACGTTTAGGAAGACTAGCTTTCTGTAATACAGTTTAACTTAGACCAAAGGTCCTGGTTTTCGTAGACCTGGTCTCCCCTTAAACCTGGTTCAAATTAAACTTCCTTAATAAATTAGTCCCGTTGTGTCTCACTCTGTAAGTTCGAGACTTGAGTTACTGAACAGTGAGTAAATTCCCATCCTCTTCTTGTGCCTTATGAAAGTTTAAACTGAGGCATAGGCTGGTCCTGCGATATAGTTGCTTCCGCAAACACTAATTCAAGAGTCTGTCTAAATCGATGAGTCGAGATTCTCATGCGAGTTATCCTCAGCTATTGAAATACTGGATGCTTCACGGATAAAGTCGCCATCAGTAGATGAAATATGAGCTGTCTGACTAAGGGATTTCTCCAAGTCCCTGTAAGTATTGTTATAACAAGGTCAGGAGGGCCTGTTCAGTGATGTTAACCACAAAGTCCGATTGTGATTAGATATGAGCCTGCATGAGCGAAGGAGCCTGTAGAGGCATATGCGTAGGTAGATTTGCGAATGTATGATTCTGAGAAGCAGAATATATCCCTTTTCCTCAAAGTCTGCAGATGCATGTTTTTGATGAATGGTACGAAGTCGGGTTGAGACAGACAAGGGTGGTTGAAAGGCTGTGTATTGCCCCCAACATGTGGATAAGCCTGCTGTTGATAAGGGTTCACATAGTGCCGACATTCGAGATCTTTATAGCATGAGTAGACGTAAGTGCAGCCGAGTTCACAAACATATGACTATGAGATATCATGGAGGGTTGTGTAGATGGGTTTGCGAATTTGTTGACTTGAGAAAACAACTCAGGAGTAGAGTGAGCAGGGAAGTTGGTGAACATAGGTGCAGGCTGAGTAGTGAGAGATTGATGACTGGTTCGTGAAGGCTGGGTTGATTCGAGAAGGACGCAGATGGGTTCGTGAAGGATAGAGGGGAATCCAACGACGTTCGGGAACGGAGTAGTCGTATGCGAAGGAGGGGTCGCTGTGCAAGTCAGATGAGTGAGTAGGAGCATTTGCGAACACACAGTGGTGTAGAGCTGAAGGGTTTGAGAACCCTGACATCTGCTAAGGTCCTACGTAGGTAGTCGGGAGGGAACCTAGGTTCCCGAAGGTCAGAAGAAGGGTTCAGGAACTTAGTGAAGGGTTCGCGAGGGTCTGAAAATCATCTGATGCAGCATTAGAATTGACGATGATTTCGATGATGACTTCTAGTGGGACGTCTCCTTCAGTTTAGTTAGCTTCTGCAGACCAGAACCCGCCCCAGGAGGAAAGCAGTAGACTTTGATGATGATACTGACGACGACTTCTTGTCAGATGTCTTCTTCAGTTTAGCTAGCTTTTGAAGACCAGAACCCGCCTCAGGAGCTTTCCTCTTGGGGCAGGACTGCAAGACCTTTGTCTGACGAGGCTCGAGCTCTGTCACCTTTCTTCCTGGCCCTCTTCTTGATATATTTATTAAATAAACATTCAAATAAGTATGCACAATATATACATTGCAAAAGTAATAGAACATGACATAGGAACGCATGAAGAGCACACAGGGTGAGGAACAACAGCAGAAATACAGTATCGACATTGTTAACAATATCGCATGTGTCTCAGTCTATCTGCAAACAAAGTGAGAAAACCAAGAATTTAGCCGTGCATAGATAATATACATATGTCATTATGATTGCCAAAGGATATAGGAATCAATCTACAGCAAAAATTTGATTTTGGCCTGAAGATAATTGAGTATTATGCAGTGGAAGGGACCTGAGGTGCCAGCCCAACCGTCCAGGTGGGCGATGAAGGACAGAGTGATATTATGGCCGCCAGTCACGTGGGACTTTTGGCGGGAAGGAAGCATGGGTCTCTATTTGGGTGAGTAAACTTTTGACTGTTCTTGGGAACATAGGGACAGAGGTTTCCACTCAAGCTGTGGAGGAAAGGGAGATAAAGCAAAGTCAGGATAAGGAAAAATATTAACTTTGGAAAGATATTATCAAAAAATTCAGTATGTAAAGGAAGTAATTGCATAGAAGTCAAAAACATCTATAAAGATGTAAAACTGGAAATGAACATGTGTGTTCTGAAACAATTATTTTATTGAAAATATAACTTGACAAATATAGAGTTTTTTAAGTTCTTTATATAAGTTCTCAAATTTTTCAATAAAATGTTTTGTTCTTAGGAACATAGGGATAGCGGTTTCAACTCAACCTTCGGAAGGAAAGGGAGATAAAGCAATAAGTATGAGTCAGGATAAGGAAAAATTAAAATGAATGCAAAATCTTGAAGCAACTCTTAAATCTTGGTAAGATATTGCATTTGTTCAGAAAACATTTCTCTTTCCTACCTCTGGTAGTAAATAAAACAATGAAATCACCTTCTCTTTCCAATGCTCTCCGTATGAACCTTCCAATGGGCTGAGGGACACCACTGACACACACATCCATTGGTGGTGTCTTCAAAGGGTTGTTATGGAGACGGAGATCTGTTAGTTTACTCAATTGATCAAAGTTCTCTGGGAGGGATACCAGTTTGTTGTCGTTAAGGTGCAGTACATGAAGTTGCCTAATATCACATACAGAGTCAGGAAGGCTGTTTATTTCATTATGATCTGCAACAAGTGACACAAGATTTCTCATACCTGAAATTGTATTTGGTAATGTTCTTAAGGTATTATTTGAAAGGATCAACTCAAAAACATTTGAGAATTCTATCTCATCAGGAAGTGAAGGTACTCGAGATCCACTTCTCTGGTCAAAGCGTAGTTTCACAAGGTTTGGAATGGCACATGCTGACTTTGGGAACTCAAAAAAATTGTTGTGCGACAGGTCAAGGTTGTTAAGTGATGTCAACATTGATACTTCTTCAGGCAGCTCCTCCAACATATTCTCAGACATGTCCAAAGATTTTAAGTGAACAAGTGCACACAATTCTGGTGGAAAGCTACCAACTTGGTTGCAAGAGATATTTAGCACTGTAAGATTGTGCAGTTCTGCCATTTCTGGAGGAATATCAGCCACACTGTTGTGAGCAAGATCTAAGATCTCAAGTGTTGAAACTTTGCAGACTGGTAAGGGGAATGTTTCAAACTGGTTTTTTCTTAAGCTCAGATGCCTTAGTTTTGATAAATGTGCGAATTCATTTGGTACTGTAGATATTCTGTTCCCATCCAATGCAATGATGTTCAGATTCTCAAGCACTGAAATGGCCTTGGGAAGTTCTTCAAATAGGTTGTCAGAGAACACAAGTGTGTGAAGTTTTTTCAAATTTCCAAATTCAACAGGAACTCCAGTCAATGAGTTGCCAACGAGACTCAGAACTTCAAGGTTCGAACACCAACTTAGACCTTCTGGTATCTCAGAGATGTTGTTTGAACCCATGTATAATTCTTTCAAATGAAACAGTTCAGCTATGTCCTCTGGTATATGCTGAAGATAATTGTTCTCAAGTCCGAGTATTTCCAATTCTTTCAGCAAACAAAGCTCAGCAGGAAGATCCTTTAACAAATTGTTGTTCAGACCCAAGATCTTCAGTTTCTTCAAATTACCAATTTCAGACTGTACCGATGACAGCCTGTTTCCAGACATGGCCAATTCCTTCAGTCCTTCAATCCAAAATAGCTGTACAGGGATGAATCCAAACTCATTGTCATCAAGCAGGAGCTGTTCAAGCCTGGTCAGATTCTGTATTTCATGTGGCAGATTTGTCATGTGATTTCCTGACAAGCCAATGCGTTGAAGACCTTCTATCCGACAAATCTCTGGATTCAAGAATTCAAGTTCGTTTCTCTCTAGCCCTAGTATTTGCAGCTTACTGAGACCACCAAGACTGTTTGGTAAATTTTTCAACCTGTTCTCATTCAGCCCAAGGACAGTCAATTCAGTCATATGACCTAGTGTGGATGGAATTGAGGATAATCTGTTGCCATTTACTAAAAGTTCAGACAACATGGGAAGTCCACATATTTCTGAAGATATGGCTTCCAATTCATTGTTAGATACATCAAGCAGTCGCAGTTTTGGCAGATGGTAAACAAGTCGATTTATGGTCTTCAAACCATTGTAAGACAGGTTTAATCCTTCAAGTATTTCCAGTTGACTCACATTGTCAGGAATATCAGTAATGTTGTTGTTGGTTAAAAATAGAAAGGATATATTTTCAAGGTCAAATACTTCCTCTGGTACTTTGGACAGTGAGAGTTCATTGAGACCAAGACTCACTTTACTGCCCTGGGAGTAAAGGTAGGAATGCAGGTTAAGTTGATTCTCTGCATATGTGTCTTCGAGCTGACAATTGCCACAGTTATCCAATTCCATGGCTGAAAAAAGGAATAACAGAGTAAAGCCATTTATCAAGAGTAACATGATTAATGTTCGGTATGTCAGGTATTTCAAATAGTGAATTATATCATGTGATTAATGTTATACACCAGCAAAATACCTTCAGTATGTTTCCATATTCCAAAATGCAAGTCTGCAGAGGTAAGAAGTTAAGTTTCAGTTAGTTCCCATGTGTGAATGTGCACACCTACACCTACAATATCATCATGTGAGAACAGACGAAAAGTTTTTACCTGTAATTTATAACAAAATATTTACAGATAGAACCAGGGGTTCAAAAATCCCATCGCCCGACGCCCGGGACAAGTCAGGTTTCATTTCGGGCAATGAAATAATGGTATCTAATTTGTCCGTGGGCTACTAGATAATTTCCACTTATGGTTTCAAACTGGAATTAACTTGGATTTAATTTCATATCTGCTCAAAATGTAGCTATTAAATTTTGCAATGATAATAAAGTAGAGTTATCCTTCTTTGCTACTTATCACTTTTCAATAAATAGTCCAGTAAACATAACATCAAATACCATGTTGATTTATTCTTCAGAATTACATCATCATGATTATTTCATAAAATCAGGGCAAGTGGAAAATTAGTCAGGACAAGTTACTTTCTTAAAGTCACTTGCCCTGTGGCAAGTGACTTTTTAAAAAAAAAATGGAACCCCTGAGAACAAGTATATATGGATGACAACTTCTTATATTCTAGAGCACGACATTTCGATACAGGTGCTTGTATTGTTTTCAAGTGAGAATGGTACTGGGAGAGAACAGGTGAAATATACAACAAGACTAATTAACAAGGCATAACAATGTGATGATAACAAATAAAGGGATAACAGAGGATTACAGGGATAAACATGGAGACCAGTGGAAGCCAATGATACACAGAGCATAGAATGTATACAAGATTAACAATGTGATGATAGTGAATAAAGGGTAGCAGAGGACAACGGGGATACACATAGAAGCCAGTAATGTTTATACAAGAGGCTAGGGTTGATTGATGAGCTCCTCGTATGCAGTGGGGATAAAGTAGCCTTGATCTCTATGAATCAGTGGTCGGTATCGTTTGATGTTAATTCCTTCAGTTATCTTGTGTTTGGTAAGGTCTGATTGGTTTGTAGCGAGGATGGTGAAATCAGTCGAGTTGATTTGGTGATTCCTACTTGAAAATGATACAAGAACCTGTATCGAAACGTTACGCTCTAGAATAAAGGAAGTTGTCATCCATATACTTGTTCTATCTGACCTCCAACTTCTAAAATGCCACTCAAAGAAGTCAAAATATTTACAGCCTTTGATGTAGGAAAACAGAAAGAGGTGTTGGCTTGCCATTATTATCACCAGCATTATTTTTATTCCATTAATAAACTTTAATTCATGCAGTGATGTATCAGATTACTTCTTAATATAACATTTGGAATTATCAGGGATCTATCATGATATATACACCTTGAAAAAGGTTAAGCACAACCGCTAACACAACTAGAGAATGACCAGAAATTATTGAGAATTTTAGGAATATGTTTAATTGGATTTCTAGTATAAACAACCTTGACCAGCTATCAAGTGCTTGGTTTCATTCAAGAGAGACAACTCCGTTAATCCTTTTTCATTAGTTTGTGAAGAGTTATCCCCCTTTGTTTACTTGCTAGCAGACGACATTTTCAGTGATCCTCAGTATGGATGAGTTAGAGAAGAGGAAGTTGATTTTAGAGTATTATAACGAGGACATCAGATCAGCTAAAGTGATTTCAAGTAGAACAGGCATCCCTTTGTCCACTGTTTATTGTGTTTTGAAAAATATTGCAAATGGATATGGCATTGAGCACCAGGGAGGCGCAGGTAGGCCCAGAAAATTTACTGTCGGTAACAGGAGGCGGCTTGGTATTCTTGTTTCTAAAAACAAACGAAGGAAGAAAACTTAAGGCTGGATATGATTGATAGAGGAACGGTGGCTGTCTGTAAGGAGACAAATAGAACTGAGCGGCATGCAATGGGTTGGCAGAAAATTCGAGGAATTCCATCACCGATCATGAAACCTGAACAAAAGGAGCGAAGGTTGAACTGGTGCTTCATCATAGAAATTTTAACTGGGACAATGTGATTTTCTCAGATGAAAGTTCTGTGTGGCTGTTTCCTATACTGAAATTCTGGACCAAACAAACTGAAAAACCTTTGTATCAGCGCCCACAGTACAGTCCGAAATTTAACGTGTAGGGTGGCATATCTGTGTTAGGGGCAACGCCCCTCTGTGTATTTGAAGGGAATATGAACAGTGAGCGGTACACAGATATTCTCGAGGGACATTTACTTCCATCTGCTCATGTGTTCTATGGAAATGTTTGGATTTTCCAGCAGGACAACGACCCAAAACATCGTTCAAAGCATTCACAGGCCTGGTTTCAGACCCAAAATATGACATTATTAGATTGGCCAAGCTATAACCCTGACCTAAATCCAAAAGAAAATGTTTGGGGACTTATGAAGGAAAGTGTCAATAAGAAAAATCTGACAAACATTGCTGAAATGAAAGAAGAGGTGGTCCGATATTGGGACAGCATGGACCACGACTTTCTAACTTCTTTGATCAGTAGTATGCCCCGCCGCATTGAAGCCTGTATTGCTGCCCATGGTGACCTGACAAAATACTAACTGTTCACCTGTCTGGAGTCATGTTCTGCTAATATTCACATTTATTACGTGAGTAATGAGTGAAAAAATAAAAAATTTACAATCTTTAAATTCTCAATAATTTCTGGTTGTACTGTATGTTCAACTTGTGAATGATGATACATATAATAATTATATTTATTTATGAAATTATTCTAAGCATACTTGGAGGAAGGTGTTTCCTAAACAACAAAAACTGTCTGATAACCTCAACGGCATCTCTTGTGGTTTCTAATTTGGGGGGCTACTCCACAATTTTGTAAAAACTCAAGAGAAGTGATCAATGGCGGCGCTCTGTTTGAACTTGCCCCTCTACTCAGATCCACAATATCCAGTGTATGGCACACTTAACACAGATTAGGATTAATTATGACAATAAACAAAATGCAGGAAGAGACTAATTAGTCGGCTCGTTAACAACCCAAGCGGCTGAAGCCAGGTCAGACATGTTAATTACTGCTGAGTGAATCCACAAGGACTGGTCCGAGTATTGCCACTTATTCGATGACATTTCTGTTGTAAAATGTCTGGAGGGACTGCGGATAAAGGTTTACTTAAACGGAATTGCCACTTATTCGATTTTCCTTATCCAACATGAAATAATCATAAACAATGAAGGCTATTGTCGGGACCGGAGAAAAAGGTTTACTTATCCTGGGCTGCCACTTATCAGTAGTTTACTTATTGGGGTTTCACTGTATATTGCAATAACTCAACGTTTCATTGATGGTGACACAAAACCTACTGTAAGGAAGGCATTTAAAGGTCACATGCAACGTAAAACACAACTTTGCAGATTCTGATACCTTTCGGTATGGACATACCGAAACAAATCGTCAAAAATGCAAATTCAACTTATAAGTTGAAAAATAACGCGATGAAAAAAACCATGCGAAATCGGAGTTCAAACGTTTCACTAATTTTCCCCAGACTTTTCTGGGGAAAACGGGTTTCAACAGCTGGGCTGCGCTCATAGCACGTGCGCAAGTAAATAGGTTCGCGCAGCTTGGAAGCGTGTTGTCGGGTGAATACTCGGTGAAGACTTTGGTGTGAGCTATTCTTCTAATGTTTTGTTGATATCTCACAGGCGCGAGCTTTTTATATGTTATGACAGTAAATTAACTGTTTATATAATTTCATTTGTCTGTTTCACCACACGTTCTTCTTACCGAGACACTTTCTCAGTTTGATACTTAAAAGCAATGTCATTATTTAGCGTTGACAGAATTTCTAACTGTGATATAGATATGTCGTTGTCACAGACAAAACTCAATGTCTTGTTTTATTGACACCTGTGTGTCTGCCTGTCTGTCTGCTAATGACAATATTCAATACACAGCTGCTATCACTGACCACATGCAATTTGAACTTAACACCAATCAGGCTATACACCATAAACAAAATGCATTGATTTATGGCCCGAGTTCGGTCTCTGTCACATTATGTAATTATACAGACAGGCAGGTGTGATACTTGAACACATGACATGTTATGATGTCTGTTGATTGCAAAATGTTATACACAAAAAATGAGCATGTATTTACAAAACCCAACATCTCTCTATATATATACACACAATTAGCCATGAAGGCATCTGCAAATGAACCAGCCGTTACACTTGAGTGCACACCCACCCGCTCTGACTGGGTTCGGTATCCCGGCTGCTTCGTTTCTTGGGAAGTAAACCGAAGTACACAATTTTGCACTTTCGATTTGTGATTGTACGCTTATAATTTTGTTTATATATTTTTTCGTAACCAGCAATGTATATTATATGTCATGAATAAGTGATAATTGTGTTTTAATTATGTTTGATTTTTTGGTTGCATGTGACCTTTAACAATTTGGTAAGACAGGCGACTAAATCAGGATCTTCAATGACCTTCCATTGAGACATTCTGAATTCTCTTTTTAGATCTTTATTAGTCCTATATGTGATAAGCCTGCTACCTCTTGGTTTCCAATCTCAAATCCATGGGACATTTTGACAAAACACATAGCTTTGTGCTGTAGACCAGTATGGCTTTAGATGTGGACTATGTTTCTTCTTAAGAACATGCTTGTCTGATGCATCATTGATACATTTAATCAGTGTGTCACAATACTTGTTGATCTCATCTTCTGATTGCAGTTTAGAATGGCAATGACCACTTTCAGTCAGCAGTTGTGTCAGGTTAGTTGAGTAGCAAGAACAAAGTTCTTCTCTACTTAACTTCAAGTTGTAGGATAGCCTGTTGAAGTCTGGGAGATGTCCTACTACAAGACAGGCAACAACAGGCCTATGGTTGCTGACATTGAGCTGG